AAAAAAAAAAAAAAAAAAAGTATGTGCATACCTCATGACACACTATGTAGAGGCCAACATTGGAAATAAATGCAGATGTAGCAGTGAGAAAAACAGATAAGATATGGAGTCCAGAGATGCGAGGATTAGCCCCAGGCTGGATGTTAAGAGCAGAAGTGACAAGTAGTAGAGCTGTCATGTCAGCAAAATGTCAAGAATGGTGAAGGAAAACTGGAAATATGCTGTGACCACTGGATTGGCACCAAAATGCTCGCCAAACAGACTAGGTCGCTCCTATAATATAGCATCTGGATAATGCAAGTACTAAGGGAAGAAAGAACAGAAAACCACCCTACACTGTCCCACAAAAAACTCAGCACATGACAGCCTGTAGGGAACACACACACAATCACACACGCGCACACACACGCACACACACACAAACACAAATATTACAAAGAAAATTTCAGAGGAAGGCTGGGTGTGGTGACTCACGTCTGTAATCCAAGCACTTTGGAGGCCAAGGCAGGTGGATCACCTGAGGTCAGGAGTTCAAGACCAGCCTGACCAATATGGTGAAACTCCATCCTTAAAAAAAAAAAAAAAGAAAATTTCAGAGGAATAGCTTGTAAGAAGAGTCCATGGTTTACATAAGTAGTGACTATGTCAGTGATAATAACCCCTGGCATAGGCAGGCATAATGAAATGCCAGCTACGGGATAGAAGTAGTAGTAGGTCAGGCACACAGGATCCTGAAATCTGGAAAAAGTCACCCAGTCATGGAGGGGATAATAAAGGCGAGATGCACTAGGGTGACTGTAAAACTCCAGACTCTGAATCCTTCCCTGTGAGGCTGTGGGGAAACAGGTACCAGGGCACCTCAGGGAGAGTAGAGGACAGTATGCAAACCTTAGTCATACCAATCACAGAATTATGCAGGGAAATGAGAAAGAAGCAGAGCCTATACTCATCATGAGAAGGACAGACCTGCCTATAGGGAAAAGAGGAAGGGCATAGACTAGCTCAGGGCACAGGAATGGGTAAAAGAACCTTACCCAGGGAGGTTAAAAGAGCCAAGTTCTCCAGCATCACATCACGGTACAGGCATCTTTGAGCCTCATCAAGGAGACCCCATTCCTCCCAGGAGAAGTGAACAGCCACATCTTCAAAGGTCACAGTGCCCTGCCACAATGGGAACAGATGAAACCACCAAGAGCCCTTCTCCCAAGCACCCACAATCCACACCCCCACATCCTTACCCCATGCCCATTCTCTTCCCAAGCTTCCCAACTGAGAGGAGAAACCAGCCCCAATCACATGTGGATAAATAGGTATCTAAGCTGGGGGCCTGGCATGGAAGGATCTGTGCTATCCCATCATGAAATCCCCTTGGAATGTTCAAGGTCATATAAGTCTCAATACCAGGGCCCTGCTGCTGTCATTTACTCCCTTTCCAGATGCACATCATTCTTCAGAATACACATCCCTTCTATCTTCAGATGCCATAGCCCAAGCCCAGGGCTGCCACGTCACTGCCCACACCATAGACATCTCCCTGCTCTTAACCCCCATGTCATTGTTTTAATCTCTTCCTCTTCACTACATTAGTGAAGGCAGGATTGCTACACTAGGGTTATGGATATGGCCAAACACACAATACCTGACACTAGGAAGATGATTAATCATATATAATAAAACCTGGGAGATGAGAACAACATGTACCACATAGTGTCACAGGGGATATAGTCCACAAAAAAAGTGAATAACCAATAGCTGTGGAATACAAGCATTTTGCCAACAAAAGGATTAGGTGCCCCCTGGTTCCCACAATTGGCTTGTTTGGAAAAGTCCATGGCCTGGTAGGGAGCTGAAATCTGCTACAAAGGGAGAAGCAGAAATTATGCCTGGTCCCCCTGATAAAAAGGGTTGTCTGATTGGGAGAAGAGTAGGGAGGGAAACTTGTAATCAGGCCATTTGATGTCACCCTAATTTCACCAGATGTCATGTTGGGCCTTAATTTTAGACTTTACACTGTAACTTAGCATGCAGCATCCAGAGTATGCTTGACAAATTCAGACAGGATCTGATACTACCCTACATCTCCCAGGGCATCCACTAGTGGTAGCAGCCCCAAATCCTATGAAGGCTTCCTGGTTGGCTCCATTCTTTGCCCCAGACTTAGGCCACACAGAACCACATGTGCATCTCAGACACCCATGGCCTTATTTCACTTCTGTGCTGCACTTACTATCCCCTCAGCAGTGACAGCCTTCCTCTGTCCACCTAACACTCAAAGACTAGCCCCATTGATCACCTACCCCAGGCCAAGTGACCATCACAGATGACCATATTTGCTCCTGGACTTACTCTCCAAGGGGAATAAACACCCCAGGCCCCATCAAAGTCATCAAAAAATGCTAGTGATTCCACAAAGTGCTGAATAAGCACTAAGGGAAAAAAGGACAGCCATTTGCCTCAAATAGACTTATGCCTCTGCATCCACCTCACATCCACTCTTTCCTTCAAAGCGTATGCCACCTGCCAAACTATCCTCTCCAAACACCCTACCCTACCTCCATAGCCACTAACCACCCTTACCTGTGTTTATAAAGCCCAAGAACATCACCCAGTTATCCAACCAAAAGGCTTGGTCCTTAGCCCCTGACTCTGCCTTTCCAAGCCAAATAATCTGTACCAGCATGCCTAAAGGTTAACCCTTATAGGCTGGGCACGGTGGCTCATGCCTGTGATCCCAGCACTTGGGACATCTCCATTCTGAAGCACTCCCCAGATTTCAGGACCTGTGTGTTCAACAGCCACCCACTTAATGTCTCTGAAACATTGCAAAGTCTTACATGACCAAATCAAAGCTCCTGATGTCTCCCGTGAATATTACTGTTAATACTAACTTCACCATCTCAGTTGAAGAATCGGGGTCATCGCTGAATCCTGTTTCACTCCCTCGCTATCTACATCAGAAAATGTAGTTGCCCCCTTTAAAAACTTGCATCCAGAATGCAGCACATCTCCTAATTAACGACTGCGGTCCATTAATCCCCACCTGGATTGGCTGTAGCTTCCACGCTGATCTTTTCCTCCTCCCTCAACCCCACAGTCTGCTCTCCATGCTAACAGGGTGGAGCCTGTTAGGACTTTGGTAAGATCACCACCTTTTTCTAACCCAAACCTCCCATTACCTCCAGAATAGGTACCCAACTTCTCAGGCAGCCACTGCAGTCCAAACTCCTTCCCCCTGCTCTTTGTTCCCAGCTAAAAGGAAAGAGATCTATGGTTTCCTCAAAAATCTCAGTTTAGTTTTACTAAGCACTTGCCCCTCCTGATACCAGCGCCAGAAGTAACCTTTGAAACGTTTCAACTGGCTGCTAAAAATGGGATAACCCCTGGCATGGACTTAGAACCTTGGGCTTAGAATTTCTGCAGGGCACCAGACCCAGGATTGGGGTAACAGCAGTTAAGCATACTAGGAAACCACAATCCCAAGAACATGTGGGCGGGGGGTGGGGGTGGGGCCTGCTGAGGGACTGGAACACTCCCCACTTCCCTATGTGAGTTCCATATGCCCTTCTATAACCAGGAGAACCAGGGAAAGAGGAATGCATCCCTGATGAGGCTCAATGGGCCCAGCTTCCCTGTATCCCGCCCTGGCCCTGAACTCAGCATGGCTGTTTCACTTCAGTGCCTCATGGCTCACTGTCGCCTCTCACCAACTGTAGGGCAATGAACAAAAGATGCAGCCTCCCGCTACCTTAGTGTCGTCATCGCCCTATCGCTGCTCGTCCTATTAACAGTCTTGGGAAAAAATTTTAAGCCCTAACGAAGGGCGGGCGCGGTGGCTCACGCCCGTAATCCCAGAACTTTGGGAGGCTGAGGCGGGCGGGTCACTTGAGGTCAGGAGTTTGAGACCCAACTGGTCCCCAAATGATGAAACCCATGGACTTATTTGCCCCTGGACTTATTCATCTGGGGACTTAAAAATACAAAAAATTAGCCGGGAGTTGTGGCGCATGCTTGTTATCCCAGCTACTGGGGAGGCTGAGGCAGGAGAATCGCTTGAATCCAGGAGGCGGAGGTTGCAGTGACCCGAGAGCGCGCCATTGTACTCCAGCCTGGGCAACAAGAGAAAAACTCCGTCTCAAAGAAAAAAAACTAACGTAAATGGCATCCCTCCTTTCTTCAAAACTCTCCGTGGCTTCCAGCGTCCTCACAATGAAGGTACAACCCTACGAGTAAGTCCCCTCATATTTTTGTTCCCTGAAAAAAGAGCTTTCCGAATTCTCCTGGCTCAGCCGCGCCAGTCCCACCTCGTCACACGCGGGGTCAGAAACAGGCCCACCCGCGAGCGCCTCAGCGTCCCCGCCCCTGGGCTGCAGGCGCCCTTCGCTGGTGGCCTTAGAACGCGGGTGGGGGAAGACGCAGCACTCACCCGAGCCGGCGCCCTCAGACTGGCCGCTGCCATCAGACTGCGGGTGGAGATGGGCCAGGAGCGGCGGCGACCAGGGGAGGGGCCGGAGCACGGCGCTCCTGTCCCAGGCCTGGCGTGGGTCACCTAGGGTGGCGCCCCCAAGGCTTAGATGCTTCCATGCAGAAGGAACGACGACTCCCCGCAGGCCTTCGTAGCCCCGACTAGGCACTCTGCGATCTCAGATCGGTCAACACACCCCAGAGAAGCCAAAATGGCCGCCACGATGCTGACTCCAAAAGTCCCATCCTTTTTTTTTTTTTTTTTTTTGGTGACTCTCGTGGAAAGCCTGCCTTCTGAGCTCTCACTGGCTTAGCAGTGCCGCCGTTCAATGCAGAGCATTCTGGATAATGTAGTTTTCATGCATCCTGAGGTCGGGACTGGGGATGCATTGCACCAACCTCTTGGCTAAAAGGCGAAGCTCCAGGGTGCTGGGTGATGAGAAATGGCTTATGCAGGTCCTAGGGCAGAGGAGGGGCTTCGTCCTTTCTTGAATGGGTCGTAATCAGACAGCATATCGGCGGCGCCATCTGCAACTGATCAGCCAAGTGTTTGGGAAATACTATTTCATACTTCATAAAGTTGAGCAGGCTCCCAGAGGCTAAAATTATTATCAGATGCTCCCTAAGGCTGCCAATCCAAATGTATACATCATTCCATAGAGCCATTCAGACATGAAATTTATCCACTAGTAGGGATGTTATCTTTATTACATTATTTCTTCTCCTTCTTTCTTCTTTCTTCCTTCTTTCCTCTTTTTGACAGAGTCTCCCTCTGTCGCCCAGGCTGGAGTGCAGGGGTACCATCTAGGCTCACTGCAACCTCCGCCTCCCGGGTTCAAGTGATTCTCGTGCCTCAGGCTGTCAAGTAGCTGGGACTACAGGCGGGCACCACCACGCCCAGCTAATTTTTTCTATTTTTTGTAGAGATGGGGTTTCACTATGGTGATCCCGAACTCCTGGCCTCAGGTGATACACCCGCCTCGGTTTCTGAAAGTGCTTTACAGGTGTGAGCCACTGCACCCAGCCTCTACCATATTACATTTCAAATGTATGTACTTGGAAGCATTGAAGTCCGTCTCTCAGTCTGTGCACTTTTGGTCAGGGACAGGAGAAAAACTACTTAAGATAATGACATGATATTGCCTCTAGAAGACCAGAAGATAGGTCACCTTGAAACAGTAATACAAAGGTAGAATGCTGTCTGTGATTCCAACAGAAAACATCTTTTGTCTGCATAGTCAATTATTGTGTCCAGTCAATAACTGGGTCCAGTCAATAAATGGGTCCAATTCATTAAGCAACACTTTTATCCATTTCATAATTCTTACTTGATATCTTAGATATACTCAATTCCTTTTAGAAGTCTAATATCAATCTCAAAAACAATGAAAGATATGCTATTTTGGTAAGAGACAAAGGGGAAAGGTGGGGCTTTTTTTTTTTATAACGGAGTTTCGCTCCTGTTGCCCATGCTGGAGTGCAATAGTGCCGCCTCAGCTCACTGCAACCTTCATCTCCCGGGTTCAAGTGATTTTCCTGCCTGAGCTTCCTGAGTAGCTGGAATTACAGGCATGCACCACCACACCCAGCTAATTTTGTATTTTTAGTAGAGACAGGGTTTATCCATTTTGGTCAGGCTGTCTCGAGCTCTGGTGCTCAGGCTGTCCACCCACCTCAGCCTCCCAGTTAGCTGGGACTACAGGAGCACACCACCACACCTGGCTAATTTAAAAAAAAATTTTTTTTTGTAAAGACAGGATCTTGCTATTTTGCCCAGGCTGGTCTCAAACTATCCTCCCACTTTGGCCTCCTAAAATGCTGGGATTATAGGTGTTAGCCACAGTGCCTGGCATTATTCTTTAAAATCCAGCAATGTGCCCACATTAGAAGGCAATAAGTTCCACCCCTGAGGACACAAACACCAGTTCACCATGCTCCAGTGAGGTTTTCCCTGCCTACTCCCTTGTCCTTACATCATACCGTTTAACTCTGGTGCAGCCACATGGACCTCAAAATGGGTGGAGCAGAGGTGGAAATCTGGAAGCAGGCCTTAGATGACAAAAGCAAACTTTCATATATAAAAGATATTATAATGTTTAAAATTTATGAGAAATTAATAGCTAAACTAGAGCTGAATATGGTGACTGAAAATTGCATATGGTTATTTTATTGACAGATGGTTACCAGAAAAGTCCTTTTTCCCCATTAATTTTTTCCAAGATGGTAGGGATGTGAGAAAGGGGAGCTTATTTCTGGAACTGGTTTGAAAGGTCAGTTTGGAGAAGAAGAATTCTGGGCAAAGCTGAAATAGCAATGCATATGCTAGTCGATTTTTGGGGATACATGTTTGAGTTGGTTTTCACTAGGCAATTGGGGTTCAATCCAAGACTAGAGGGTGCCATGTAGAAACGGCCTAAAGGATGGAAGGGGAGAATTCTGCAGCATAAATTATGATGCGTCTCTGATTCTGTCGCCTCTGCCTTAGAGAACTCTCCGGCTGCTGCAGATAAGGTAGCACTATGCGGAGAAGCCTGTCCATTCACCCTCTTTCCTCGACCATCTCTGGACGTTTTGCTATTGTGAGCATTCTCGCATATGCTTCTCGGTTCACAGGAAGGAGAATTTTTGTTTGCAAACATCTGTATAAGGCAGGGGAAACTTTTTCAACGTGGTTTTTCAATGTATTATAGTGCCATCAGAAGGTAAAAATGTCCATGTCTTCTCCAACACTAGATATGGCTACCGCTTTTTCTTTTCAGACAGGGTCTGGCTCTCTTGCCCTGGCTGGAGAGCAGTGGTACCATCAGAGCTCACTTCAGCCTCAACTTCCTGGCCTCAAGGGATCCTCCTATCTTAGCCTCCTTAATAGCTGGAACTACAGGTGAGTACCACTACTAATTTTTGTATTTTTTGTAGAGACGGGGTCTTGCTATGTTTTCCAGGGTGGTCTCCAACTCCTAGGCACAAGTGATACACCTGCCAACCCCCCAACCTCAGCTTCCTGAGTAGCTGGGACTACAAGAGTCAACCATCCCTCCGGGCCTTAATGCTTTGATTTTAATATCCAGATCCTTAGTACAGTTTATTGGAGTCAGCTGGTAAGATAAGGTGTGGGGTAAAACAAAGTTCTTCCTCTCCTCACCCTCTGCATAGACAATATGTTTGTATTGTGCAGGCTTAATGTATACCTGACAGTTCTCTCTGACACAGCAGCTGCCAGTCTGACTTTACTGGGTGTTTTACGGATCCTGCAATTACAAATAAACAATAAGCCTCTGGCCTCCACCCAAAGCCGCACATGAATGATTATATCCCTACTTCTTCAGTGATTACAGGCGGACTTCACTGATACCCAAGGCCTCCCATTGCAGGCTCTTGGGTTAAAGTCCCTGGATGAAAATGTTGGAACAAAGGCTTCTGGGATTTGTAGTCCATTACGCAGCGCGCATTGCTCTCTGGTTGCTGAAGTAGGTGGGGAGTTCTGCGCAGCTGCATATGCGATCGCCTGATAAGCTGGATCGTGGCGACAAGGTGGGTGAATGTGACCCCCGACGGGCAGAGGAGGGAAGCTGGGCTGTAAACTGAGGCGGCAGGTCCGAGTGGAACGCGGTGACCCAGAGCCGCGGTCTCCCGAAACGTCCCTCCGGAGCCAGGCGTTCCAGCGGCCTCTGGCAGTTGCCGTCGTCGCCATCCAGCCGCGTTGCCTTCTGGGATCTAGTGTCGGCCGGCACTGCGCAGACTCCTGGACTCCCACACGGCGCTTTCTTCGAGCTCATCTGCTGTGGGGCTTCGGAATTCATTCCCGGAATATTGTGTATTTGGAGTTTTCTCTCTTAAGCTAGAGAAGACAAGGCAGGCCTCCGTACGGGGGGAAGCAAAAAGATCTTTGTACTTAACATTGCAATTGCCATTCTTTATTCCAGATGAAGCTGGCTTACCCTTTGCAGTAGACAGTCCGTGTTTCTCTTTAGGAGATTTATTTATATTTCAGGAGTGAACCATTAAACTTTTCGGCATTGATAACATTCAGGTGTGCCATGTCCCTTTCTTTTTTTTTTTTTTTTTTAGACAGGGTCTCACTTTGTCACCCAGACTGGAATGCAGTGGCACAATCTCAACTCAGTGCAGCCTCAACTTCCTAGGTTCCAGTGATCCTCCTGCCTCAGCCCCCCATGAAGTTGGGACTGTAGTCAGGTACCACCACGCCCGACTAATCTTTCTATTTTTAGTAGAGATGGGATTTTGCCATGTTGCCCCGGCTGGTCTCAAACTCCTGAGATCAAGTGATCCACCCTCCTTTGCCTCCCAAAGTGCTAGGATTACAGGCATGAGCCACCTCGTTCAGCCCTAAATTTCCTGTTGTGCTAGTCTTGTTCTGTGTTGAAAACAGACTTAAAGATGGCCAACACTGAATAGAAGGGGCAGAGGAATGTCTGACATTATACACTGGATGCAAGTTTTGGGAACAGGGATCTCACCCCTGCCATTCTCTGTTGTTCTGAATTTTCTTAGATTCTCTGTCTGTCACTCATTAATTACACGGCAAAACTAATGGCCAAAGTTATTTATATCCTCCCCTTTGATTCAGCTTTCAAGGGTGTGATTACAAACCCTCAAACCAATCTCGAGCTTGTATCTTCAGCCACCCTCTAATTCACACACCAGGCCAATATAATCCTCAACCTAAAACTTGCAGAGCCAGGAACCAGACAACCAGACACTACCCCTATAGCTTAGAGCCTGCCAGCATTATTCAAACTAGCCAACCCTAAACTATTTCTCCTGCCCTACCTCACCTTTCCCATGAAAAATAATAAAATCTGTGATCTACACTTTCCTTATTTTCTGCCTCCTGACCAAACCTGGTTCTTCCCCCATGTAGCCCTGTGTGGTATGGCATCCCTCCTCTTCTCAGGAAATATAAGTAATGAAAGTTTTTCAATAGCATTGACTTCTTGATGTCATGCACAGCCACCTTTTTAAGTTAAGATCTGAGCGTAAATCACCTGTCCTTTCCCAGCAGAGCTGACAGATAAAAAGCAACAAGGAGTGCTTCTTTTCAGTCCCAGCTCTGATATTTCCCGTGTTTGAGCAAGATTACTAATAGAAAATCGTGGCCCTCAGCCTGCCTGCTTCCCCTTCAATGAGTAGTATTGCTAGGTTTTGTCTATACTTAAACCCTCAGTTCTCCAAAAATATACCCCAAGAAGAGAAACCTGCAAAGGACATAAACATGATCTGCAC